CTCCCCCATTTCCTCCACCTCGGCCCACTCCACTCCAAGCCCAAAACACACAGCCCAGCAACCCGAAACAGCCCAGCCACCTCAGCCCACCCACCCAATGACCACCCGCGCCAAGGCCGGGATTTTCTGCCCCAAACGTGTCCTAAACCTCAACACTGTTGCCAGTATATCCCCCATCCCCCCCACCTACCGTAGTGCACTTAAAGATCAAAATTGGTACAATGCTATGTTAGATGAATATAATGCTTTGATTGCTAATAATACATGGGATTTAGTACCTCCCTCCCCTAACCAAAATGTTATCTCCGGTAAATGGCTATTTAGACAAACTCAGCCCTACAGGTGAACTGTCCAGGTATAAAGCTCGATGGGTTGTTCGTGGATTCAATCAGCGCCATGGAATCGATTATGATGAGACATTTAGCCCGGTGGTCAAACCGGCAACCATTCGGATTATTCTCAGCCTGGCCGTATCACGGGGATGGCCAATCCACCAGCTAGATGTCAAGAATGCCTTCCTCCATGGCGCCCTTACAGAGACGGTGTACACGGCCCAACCATCTGGATTCCAGGACCCTGCCCGACCTCATTATGTGTGTAAACTGAATAAGGCGCTCTATGGACTGAAACAAGCACCACGGTCTTGGTACCAGCGATTCACTGGCTTCCTTCTCACACTTGGTTTCTCCGGGTGCAAGAGCGACACTTCCTTGTTCACTTATGGTCAAGGGACTCAGATGGCATTCCTACTTCTGTATGTTGATGACATCATTCTCACTGCTTCCTCGCAAGAGCTTCTACAGCGGGTTATACAGCGATTGAAGGGTGAGTTTGCCATGACAGATATGGGGGATCTACAGTTTTTTCTTGGGATCAATGTCCAGCGCACCTCTCATGGTCTGTTCTTGACACAGACTCAGTTTCTCTACGATATTCTTGATCGAGCAGGCATGCTCAACTGTAAACCGGTGTCCACCCCGGTTGATACACGAGGGAAACTGTCAGCCTCAGGAGGCACACCTGCGCCAGAACCGTCCCTGTACCGCTCTATTGTGGGGGCCCTACAGTATCTCACTTTCACTCGCCCTGACATTACCTATGCCGTACAGCAGCTTTGTCTATTCCTCCATGATCCACGCACGCCTCATGTCACGGCTATGAAGCGAGTCTTGCGCTACCTCCACGGCACAACATCACATGGCATCTCCATCTCCAAATCCCACACAGACCATATGCGGGCCTACTCAGATGCTGATTGGGCCGGCTGCCTTGACACCCGCTGGTCTACATCCGGCTACTGCATATTCCTTGGTGATAATCTCATTTCCTGGTCTTCTAAGCGCCAGCTCACCACGTCCAGATCCAGTGCCGAAGCAGAATATCGTGCCGTAGCAAATGCCGTAGCCGAAGTCAGCTGGATACGCAATCTTCTACTCGAGCTCCAGCAACCACTTAGCCGTTCCACTTTGGTTTTTTGTGATAATGTGATTCCTAACATAGTAGGTTTTCCTAATATAACTAGGAATACTCTACTATATATTCTCCCTTGTATCTACACATTATTATTATTGGAATATATCAATTCTTCACTGGAACTACTAATTCTAATGGGCCGGGATTTAAAATTGACCGTTATAAGCCACAAGTCTCACAAAAAGAAGTGAGAGTAAGAGGTGCCAAAAAAATGATATATGCATAATAAGAGCCAACTGAACTTCGGAAAAAAAGGGTCTTGATATCTATGCAGTACTGCCCAGCCAAAGAAAAAAGAGAAACTATGAAGTTTTATCTCATCCATGGAGCATTAATCACCCATTGTTGCCGCTGATGAAGAAAAAGAACATCTAGAGGATATTTTCTTACAAATTAAGGGAGGCACTACGGAGTAAAAGCTGCACAAAGGAAGAGCAATTAGAAGCTGAATATTTGCTCAGCGCAAATAGAATTTGTCATCAAATCACGTGTAAGAGGATTAAATTAATTCGTAGATAGAATCTGTTGAAATTGAAAACGTAATCTTTACAGTGATTTGGTGAAAGAGTTATTACACGGGTGTGGACCGTGCAGACGTATAAGAGTTACTCCAAACTATGTAAAACAATTTGTGTGCACTGCTTACTGCTTTTATTTTATATTTTGCGTGTGTTCATGTGACAGAGAAGGTGTTATACCACTTTGTCTCTCATTTGTTTCTATGACAGTGGTACAACATCTTTTGCAGCTATCTGTTTATTTGATTTGTTTGTGTAGACTATTTTTGTAGGGGATTTTTGCTACCCCACGAATTTTCACTAAGGTCCACATCTAATTTTTAGATCTATTCACATAAGTTTAATTAGGTGAACTCGAAATCCTGAAAAGGTTCATCGATATTAAAAAGATTAAAATTATAAATAAGGTCCACAATATTTTCAAATTCTTACGTGGTCTAAAGCTCCATGCTGGGTGACCTGGGTGACCCGAGTGACCCCAGGCTGGAGCGCAAGCAAAATCGGGTTTACTTAGTAAAATATTTATTTGTTTAGAATAAATTCTCATTTTAATAATTAAAGAGTTCAATATTTAATATTTGAAAAAAACATAAAATGAGAACATTGGAGAGTAAAAAAATAACTTAGAGTTCAAGCCCACACTAACATAGAATAGGTTCATTAACTTATACAATATTAAAAATTAAAAAAGATTTCTTTTATCGGCACGACCTCCACGTCTAAGCTTTTTGTATTCACTAGTTGTTCCCTTTGCTAGTACCTGCGTGCGGTTAAACACTACACACTCAGCATAAAACTGAGTGGTAAATAACCAATAGACATATATAACATGCAATATATTTTAGGGCATTTTAAGTTAACTAGCTTTAAATGGAGAAAGACCAAAGTACTAAAACATTGAAAAATATACCAAAATAAGACTTTCATATTTTTTTCCTGAAATAGGACTTAAAGTACATTTACATTACCAAAAAGTGTAGTAATGTACACATGTACAGTGCCACATTACAATCACATTACTTCAATGCGAAGTCTATTTCGGAAAAAAACATGAAAATCTTATTTTGGTACTTTTCTTTATGTTTTAGTCCTATTTAGGGTGATTTCTAAATTTTAAATACTTTTCACATACTTTATTTTATTGAGAAAACATTCTTATTTTATAGTAGATACTTGGGACATTTAGAAAACTATTGACCTTTCTAGGTTAACCTTGATTTAGCGACCTAGTCGTGACTAGGCTGGAACCCTGCACTAGTCGTACGTAGTTTTACTTTGGATACCTCTCCCTGACCTCGGGTCGGATGATCAGAAGTGAGCTCTAGACCCAAGGGGTCATCGTTGGGTTCTCATGCGCACGTTGTGATATGATAATTTGTAGGCTCATCCACTTGGACACATATGATCCGATAATGTGTGGCTTTATCCACTTGGTAAAACGTGACAATACTTGGTAAGAGCACGTCAATAAAATAAACCTTGAAGTTTTTACTTCGTCCACTAACTGTTTAGTTAACCCTAGTTTAGTCTTTTATATAAACAACTTTTTTATGTCTTCAGATATAAATCATTTCCAATTCGTTTAGTAGTTTATGCCCCCTTGAAACAGAATATTTATTTGTACAATGCTTATTTAAACACCAAAAGTGTAGAAATCCATACATTTGAAATTTTGAATTTATTAACCCAACAACATAAAACATCTGTTAATCTAAATAAACTATATTACTATAATCACCACATCATTTATTTATTCGCTTATATATTTGGTCCTTTTGTACACCTTTTATTTTTTTCTTTTTTTGTTTGTTTTAGTAAGTACCTTTGGCCCTTTAATTTTTTTTAGATATTCTAAACTATGTAAACTTTTTCTTATCAACTTGAACATCTTGGACCGCTTTTACAGACTTTTTTTTAATTAACCAAATGTTTATTTAAAATGATAAAAGAAATATTTACACATGTGTGTTTCGCAGAAAAGTATATATATGTGATGGACAATAAATTCACGGGCGATCCAATTCAGAAGAATGGATCACAAGAAATAAAATAAGAACAAGAACTCGAGAATTGTATGTGTTATTAGCTTTATTCAGCTTGAGGATCCCCCATTTGGGTCTCCTCTATTCATACATGGTTTCTTGAGTAATTAGGGTAATTCACCATCAAAGGAAGTCTAATCCGTCAATGGCGTGATCCCCTTTTTTCCGGCTGCGTCCTCGCCTTCCACTGAATCTCCTCCCGCGGATTACCTCTTCCAGCTGTCCTTTTGGACTGGGTTGGTTTGGGCCCAGCTCCTTGGGCTGGCCCAGATTTACTACTCCTCTGTCAGTGTGACCTAGCGTCTTTCAGGTGCTGCATTTGGGCCACCCGATGGGCATCGGCCCATCACAAGCCCCCCAACTCCTCATTCCTCAGACGGGCCACGTTGAGGGATGAGGAGTTTACGAAGTCCACGTGGGCGCCTCCTCAACGGATCTGAGTCGTTCCTTGGGTTTCGCGTGACGTTTGGCACGATCTCCACTAAAAGCAATCATGGCCTGCTGCTTCGTCTTCCCCTCTTCTGATAAAACCGCCGTTGGACGTCATTCTTCACCACCTGCTACACTTGCTTCTTCGCCGCTACCTGACCCATTTTCCTTCTCTTTCCAGGTCAGTTCCCCCTTTTACCATCATGATTGTCTCTGATTCCGACTCGGCTTCTCCGTCGTCCAATTCTCGTCAAGCCAATCACTCGGCCTCTGGCCATGACCAACGTCAGGCCAATTCTCCTCAGCCATCACCGGCGGCCGCGCCCGGCCAAAAGCTGCGCCAGCTGAGGAAGCAATTCCCCTCCTCGACCCCGGCACTGAACGGCAATAGGGTTAGACTGGATGAGAACATCATGGCGTTGTGCCATTGTCAAATTACTGACCGTGGGTTCGCCGACGCCACTGACAATGTCGGGCCCTCTATTGAAGTCCTACGGCCCACTAGAACCCAAACCGCCCTGGACGCTCCGTCGGGGTTCTTTACCGTTCATCTGGCCTCTTTGAAGAAGGGGCTGCGATTTCCTCTTCACTCATTGTTGATCGAGTTCCTCAACGAGGTGGACCTCCTTCCTTGCCAACTGGTCTCCAATTCTCACCGGTATATCGCCGGTTATTTGATCAAATGCAAGGAAGTAGGGGTGAAGCCCACCCTTGACCATTTCCTTTTTACCTTCAAAATGGCCGAAGGTCATGGGGATTTAGCGTCCTATGCCAACCTTTCCGAGCGATCCAGAAAACTCTTCACTAGCGATAAGAAAGGGTCGACCAAGGACTGGAAGCCCTTTTTTGGCTTTGTCTTGATGGGGCCCGAATCTCCTTTCACGGGTTCAGGGCTCCCATCCTTCCGTCGCATTCCGTGTCCCCAATCCAACACCACTCTCCTATCCATTACCAGGAAACTCTGCGGCCCAAGGGCCGTCGAGATAAAGAAGGTGGTGACCGAGGAATCTCTAGCAGCGCTGGGGTTTGAGTTTGTCCAAGACGAGCATCGCCATCAGCCTGACCTGCTAAGGGACTTTCCTGGGGGGAATGCTGACTGTGGCCCCTTTGGTAAATATTTTCCCTTCTCCATTAGGGATCTTAATTTTACTTCTTTTGGTACTAACTGCTCCATTCATTTTCAGTCGAGCAAGAGGGGTTAGAAGAAGAGATGGAGGGTGATCTCTTGATCGGCCACTTCATTGCAGGGAGAAAGAGGAAGAGGGATGCAGCTCGGTAAGACAGGAGCAAGCGTTCTTCCTCACGCTGCGAAGGTAGCCCCTAGCAGGAACAAATCGTGATCGAGGTGGAGGATCAGGACGACGCGGCTCCGGAAACGGGAATGGTGGCGATCAACTCCATGCCGCGTTTCATGTTGCTTAGGAGCGACCTAGCAGGTCCGTCTCAGAAAACCCTCTCGGAGCGACCTCCCTCCCCGCCGGAAGTGACCTAGAAGGTGGCGACCGAGGGTCGCTAGATGAGGTTTAGCATTCCTCCCCATCCCCAAGTCTAGGGGACGTACAGCGGGAGACCTTGGTCACCCGCTCAGGACCGAGCCCGCATCTCAGCCGGTTCCGATGATGACCTCAATAACATGGTTCTCCTAAAGCTTATTCAGGTATTCGCCTCAATTCCCTTCTCAACCCCTTTTGTTTTACATTCCTCCTCCTTTCCCTTTGCCCCACATTCCTGATTCCTTATGCTCTGGTTTAGGCCACACTAGGGATGATCGAGCTTGTTGGCCAGAGGCAAGATCGCCAAGCGGCTATGGATGAGGCGAAGAGGGCTGTAGAAGATAAGCAGAGGGAGCTGCAGGATGAGGTCGCTCGCTTGGTGAGAGAGTTAGAGGAGGAGAAGGGTCGCTTCGCCCAACTGGAGGTGGAGAATGCTTCACTGTCTTTTCAGGTGGGGTCTATTTCTGCCCGAGTAGCCGAGCTAGAAGGAGAGAAGGTCGATCTGATCCAGCAGTTGGAGGCCGAGAGGAGTGACCAGGCCCGTCGCCTGGAGGAGGCGGTTGAGTCCTTCAAATCTTCCCCCGAGTTTACCATAGTCGCTAAGGAGCGGATGGGCAAGCTGGTAGTCGAGTGGGTCAAGACTGGACCCGGAGCTGAATGGATGGTCGGGGAATCAGACAAGACCTTCAACTGTGGACTCTTCCGAGCCCAACTGGTTTTTTGCGACAAGCTAGCTCGGCTTGCCAAGGGAATCTCCCTTTCTGATCTTGGCCTTCCCCCTCCCTGCTGCGCCTTCACCGACTTCGACCCCAGTGCTTACTTGGACGAGGAGAGTTCGAGTGCTTCCGACGAGGAAGAAGAATCAACTGCACAGGGCGACTAGGATGGGCAAGGCAACTGGGGGCCTAGAGCGAGTCTGGCGGCGTCCAAGGCGGGCGAGGGCACCAGCTCGGGCGTGTGATCTACCTCACCTCGCATTTGCACTTTTTTGCCTTTAGATTTGTAAAAACTCATGACTCTTGAATGCTTTAGTGTTTTGATACAATATTCCAGTGTTTGCCATTTTATTTTTACTTTCCACATGCCTTTGCTTTCCTTATGCTTTGTTGATGTATTCTTTCCTTAGATTGGCCCATTCCGTTGATGTGGGTAGACCTTCAGTCAATGCCCAAATTCTAGTTTTGGCCCACCAGTATGACTAGGCCCAATCATGTTTCCGTGCCGCCCAACTGATCCACTGCACTCTTTACAGCCATTGATTGGACCATTGCGCTGCTCAAGGCTGCTTTATCGGTTCAGCTGCCTTGGGACTTGACCGTCTCTTCGGTTTCTTCGCCTGGGGCTCTTTATAAGCCCCCATACTCCGTTTCACTTCTCCATCACATACCCTTTCCTCTGACCACCACTTATTCGCTTTTCACCATGTCTGAAGAAATTCCTACTTCCTTAAATGTAACGCCCCGAAAATAGGTATATCGGAATTAATTAATTGATAATAAATTAATTAATGAGAAGGACCCAAAATATGTGAATTATAAAGTTGGTCAATAAATAATAAAAATTACATTGTTATGTAGAGTTTAACTGTCTGATTCCAACGGTTCAATCGGATTTCAATTCGGAAAAAGTTGGACCAAAAAGTGTTCCCCGACTAGGACCAAATTAGTCCCAATCAGGGACTTGCGTCTGGAAATCCTAGCAATCTCCGCTCCCTCCACCGAGATGCCAGAAAAGCGAAACGGATGTCACCAAACCTGTGTCTTCTTCCTCTCCACTCCACTATATAAACCTCTCTAAACTTCACCATTTTTCATCATTCTTCTTCCAAGAGATAGCTGAGAGTGTAGAGACTGAAGTAGTGCTGTCAAGAGAGCTTCCCGTGGCCGGAGATAGCCACAATCCTCGTCGGAAAATCTTCAAAACCTCTGTTAAGCTTCGAGGTAAGCACGTACATATATCTAATGACTAGAATGTTTGTATAGATCGTTTCTACGTTCATAAACGGTCGTTTGGTTGAGTTTTGTGTTTGACGTGCTTGAAGAACCAAGAATCATAAACCATGAAATTGATGTTAAAACTATGAATTAATGATGCTAAAATGATCTATGAACCTTGGAGAACATTTCTATATAGTTTTTACGAAGTTCGGTAACTAAAAATGGTATTTTCAAAATTGGATCCGAGAGGTTGAAGAAGATGAACAGGAGCTGAAAACTTGCAGGGTGGATTGATCATATCAGTTTGATCGATCACCTGAGCAAATCTTTTACAGTCCGAAAATTTGTCTCAAATTGCTATTTTTGAGCTCTAAAATCCTATTTGTGATACTAATTGATTATGATTATTATAAATGTTCGAATAAGAGACTAACGCTAGAGAGGGGGTGAATAGCATTTGATCAAAAATCGCAGGAATAACAAATGAATAAATGAGAAGTAAAGAAAAGAGTAAGAGGCACACCGATTTTACCCTGGTTCACCACAACTTGTGGCTAATCCAGCCTCCCGAGAGACTCTCTCGAGCTACACTACTACCTCGTTAAGCTTAACGGTGCTTAACAAACCCGTACAACTTGAGAATTCGAGTCACACGAACCTCAACAAACCTTCGAAGGAAACAGCCCTTCCTTCGAACAACAAGAGGAATACCTTCTCTTGTCAAGTGTTTAAGAACACTAAAACACTCAACAGCAATGTCTAATGTCCAACATCGCTGTTCTTGAAGTTTCTGGAATTCCAACCTTGGCTCAACAGCAATGTCTAATGTCCAACATCGCTGTTGGAGGACTTAACGCCAAACCATGTTTTTAGCTACCCAGGCCAGACAGCGCTGTTGATTACCTCAACATCGCTGTTGATTACCTCAACATCGCTGTTGGGCTGGTTTAGCCAGACCCATGGTTGGTTTAGTCACGCCGTTAGCCGATGTCAAAAACGCAAGTTCTCCAAAATAAAAACCAAGTTTAGAAAAAATTTTCTTATTGCATTTTGCTAAGAAATCAAGTGAAACATCTTAAAAACCACGTCATTTAGTTGAAAACCACGGCTAGCCAAGTTCGCGCCGTTTCGCATGGTTTTCAATAAACGACCAAAAACGGAAGATGGTTTTTGAGGCGTTTTTTTTGGAGAACTATTTAAATGTGCCCAGTAGTAAAAACCAGTCATAAAAAGTTGAAAACCACTTGGTTGGTTCGGACGCCAAAAACCAATGCCGAAAACCGAGAGCCGAACGCCGGTTTCTGAAAACCGAATGCCGGATGGCTTGGTTTTTGGTCTGGGCGAACTCCAAGTGTTTTTGGGTAGATTAAAACTTATGAAAAACATTTTTGAGTTTGTAAAAAGAGTTTTGATGAAATGAGCCTAGAGAGCCAAGTTTTGAAAGTTTGTGCCGGTCTTGATCACATTAAGACCGACTCAATACAAATCTAATTCTTCGTTCTTGATTCAAGATTCTTGGTTCTCAAACCATCATGCCATGTTCCTTCGCCTTGGTTTTTGTTCTCTTTAGCCTTGTTATGTCACGGCGGTTTGGCATTATCAAAACCTGTCATAGAAACGAACACAGTTTAGTACGACGTAGGCGTAAACTTGTGTTCCAACAATTTCCCCCTTTTTGATAATGGCAAACAAGACGGGGATATGCATACTAGGCATATTTGTTTTTCAAAAGGGTTGTGAAAAAAAATTCCTCCTTAGTTTGTGCTTAAAAAAATTTAGTTGGATTAAAATCAAACGGTCTCGTTTATAGAGGCGTTCCCCCTTAGTATATGCATAGCCCTTTTCTTCCCCCTTTTGACATTAACAAAAAGATAAAAGATAATTTTATTTATTAAAGGAAATAGCGGAGTACAACGGAAGCATTAAAAAAGAAGATAATTAAGGTAAAAGATACAGAAATTCTAGGGGCGGCCTAGTCTTCGTCTTCGGTTTCCTCCTCATCGTCGTCGACGTCCATCCCATCACCGTCAACAGCGTCGTCGAACTCGTCCTCGTCCGGGGAGCTTGACGGGGCGTAGGAGCCATCCTCTTCGTCCTCGTCACCGTACACTTGCCCAAAGAACGTGCCATGGTACGGTGGGGGGACGTAGTTAACACGTTGGAAGTATGCGTTCATGGCGTGCCCTTGGCGTTGAACAGCCTCGTCGAGCCGCTCAAGGTAGCCATCCATCCCGTCAACTTTGAAGCGAAGCCGGTTGAGGGAGTCGGCGATGGAGGCAAGGTTGGCCCGGGCCTGGGCTTCGGCTGGGGCCGAGTGCATGATCGCATGGATGAGCTTGAGATCTTCACCGGACATGATGGTGTGGCCGTGCTTCTTGGGTTTGATGATCCGGGAGACGATGTAGAGAAGAAGACGGCCATCGGGGTTAGCGGAGTGGATGGTGGGGCGGCCCGAGGCATGGCGGATGAGCTCGGTGATGCCAAGCTCGTTGAGGATAAGGTCCTCATTGTTGAGCACCCAGTCCTCTCCGCCATAGTGAGACACATCGTCGCCTTGGAAGGGGAGGCCGGCGATGCGCCCAAGCTGCTCCACGGTGAGCTCAATCGGCGTGCTCTTGACAAGCGAGTAGAGCACGTCGTCCTCACGCCTGAGGTTGGAGTAGAAGGCCCGGATCAGCGCCGGGTTGATCTCCCTGCGCGCCCGGGAGACGAACGGCCAAAGGCCGGCTTGATGAAGCTGTGCGTCAAGGTCGTCGTAGCCCTGCAGCTCCGGGTAGCGCTCCGGGATGATCCGTGGGGGAGCCACAACCCGTTTAGAGAAAAAGGTGAGGAAACGGGTGCGCTCCTCCTCGGAATCAAACCAAAGGTATGACCCGTCGCCATAGTAGAGGCGCTCCTCGGAGCATGATGTAGGCGCCCGGGATTTGGACTTTGATTTCCCGGAAGTGCCTGCCCTGCTCTTGTCTTTGCCCATAGTGAAGAAATTTCAAAAAAATTAGAGTAGAGAGGATGAAATATGTGAAGATATAAAAGGAATATGTGTTTGTGTGTGTAAAAGTGAGGAGAGGGGGTCCCAATTTATAGAAAAGGTGGTCTCCAACGTCCAGATTTTCAAAAATATGGCTGTTGGAGAAATTAATGCTGCTGCCAACGGATATTTTTTTGAAAAATTTGACCTGAACAGCGATGTTCTATAGGCGACATCGCTGTTGAGACAGCGCTGGTGGAATGCTGAACAGCGCTGTTGTGCGTTAAGTTTTAAAAAATAAGTGTCAAAGGGACAGCGATGTTGAATCCCCTACAGTGATGTTCCAAAAGTTTCTGGAATTGAATAAGGGTTTGGACCCATTAGAACAGCGATGTTGGGTTTCTCTACATCGCTGTTTTGCGATAGAGGAAAAAAAATTTGTAAAAGTGGACATCGATGTTGAAGGTAAGACATCGCTGTTAAAAAGTTTCTGGTTTTGGTTGGAAACAAGGTGTTTTGGGTAGACAGCGATGTTTAGAAGGGAACATCGATGTTCAAAAAGTTTCTAGAAAGTGAAGATTTAAGGGACTCCCTGGGACATCGCTTTTGGTTTGTCGTACAGCGCTGTTGGAAAACTTTCTGGATGACGGCGTTTCTCTCAACAGCGCTGTTGTGTCTCCTACACAGCGTTGTTTGCATGGTTCCCCCTGACTTCATGGACGGGGTACCTGCAAAAAAGAAAAAGTTCTCCGACGCTCAAGCTAGTAAACGTTTAATAAATTTAGATGCACAACTTAGATCATCGTGGAGTCAAGGATTCCGAGTTCACTTCGAATGCGGAAGAACGACTCTTTCTCTAAAGGTTTTGTGAAAATGTCGGCTAATTGGTTGTGTGTTTCAACAAACTCAATTTCGACATCACCTTTGAGAACATGATCTCTAATGAAATGATGTCTAATGTCAATGTGTTTCGTCCTTGAGTGAAGAACGGGGTTCTTCGTCAAGCTTATGGCGCTAGTATTATCACAACGGAGAGGAACGTGATTGATACTAAGGCCATAGTCCACG